GACCTTGAGTTTGGGAGTTGTAGTTCATCGACATCCAGAGAGCACTGTGGACTCAAACAATGATGGATCAGGACCAAACTTGGTACAAATACTAAATATGCCCAAATGTGAACTTGACATTTGGGAGTTTTCATTGGTGGGATTTATAGTTCACCTACAATCAAAGAGCATTCTGAACTCCATCAACAGTGGAATTGAACTAAACTTGGCACACAGAACTTCGATGACCAATAGAAAATGCTGGAAGGGTTTGGTGGGCATTGACATTGAGTTTGGGAGTTATAGTTCACCTACATCCAGAGAGCACTGTGGACTCAAACAATAATGGATCAGGACCAAACTTGGCACAAATACTCAACATGCCCAAATTTGAATACCCGTGAAGTTTGGGAAAAATAGACCGTGACATTTGGGAGTTATAGTTGCTGGGATTTATAGTTCACCTACCATCAAAGAGCATTCTGAACCGCAACAATGATAGCATTGGGTCTAACTTCCCACACAGAACCCCCATGACCAACAGAAAATACTGCGTTTTCTGATGGTCTTTGGCGACTCCTCTGACATCCCCTCGCGATCCCCCCCAGGGGTCCCGACCACCATGTTGAGAAATGCTGGAGGATAGAAGGCCACCTGTTGGGAGGGCTTGGATAGTGTCCTTCCTACTTGACATGAATGGGGCTAGATTAGATGGCCCTTCCAATTAGTATTATATTATTATTACTATTTGAAACACAACAAGATGAGTCCACAGCAGACATTCTGTTGGCTGTTGTATTGGATCACACATCGGACCCTTCCAAAGTGTCTAGGACTGTGTGCTGTATCGGCGAATAAGGCGAATAAGTTGGCCTTTTGCAGCGGGCAGATGATGTTTCTGGGTTGTTGAAGGTTTTTTGGGCCATATGGCCATATTCTAGAAGCCTTCTCTGATGACGTTTTGCCTGCATCTATGGCAAGCATCCTCAGAGGTTGTGAAGTATCGGCAAACAATGTGTGCAGATCCCAGTAAGGTGGCCTTCTGCAGCTGGCAGATGATAATTTTGTCAGCGCCGATTGTGTTTAAGTGCAGGCCAAGGTCTTTAGGCACTGCACCCAGTGTGCCGATCACCACTGGGACCACCTTGACTGGCTTGTGCCAGAGTCTCTGCAGTTCGATCTTCAAATCCTCGTATCGTGTCATGATGTTGGGATTGCAACATCAACGATCCATATTTTGTTTTTTAGCATGATGGTGAGGTTAGGAGTATTGTGCTCCACAACTCTGTCTCAATTCGGAAGTCCCAGAGTAGTTTGACGTGTTCATTTTCTGTAACTTTTTCCGGCTTGTGATCCCACCAGTTCTTTGTTGCAGGCAGATGGTATTTGTGGCACAAGTTGCAATGAATCATCTGAGCAACGGTGTTGTGCCTCTGCTTGTAGTCTGTCTGTGCGATCTTCTTGCAGCAGCTGAGGATGTGATCTATTGTTTCATCTGCTTCCTTGCAGAGTTTACATTTGGGATCTGTCGCCGACTTTTCAATTCTGGCTTTGATGGCATTTGTTCTAATGGCTTGTACTTGGGCTGCCAGAATCAGGCCCTCCTTTGTCTCCTTTTTCAAAGTTTCATTTGTGGGCCACATCCATGTTTTTTCTTTGTCACGTTGGTTCTCAATTTTTCCCAGGAACTGTCCATGGAGAGCCTTCTTTTGCCAGTTTTCTCTTCTGCTCTGCATTATATTTTGCTTCCTTGCAAAGTCTACATTTGGGATCTGTTGACAACTTTTCAATTCTGGCTCTGATGGCATCATCATCATCATCATCATCACCATCATCATCATCACTAGCCACCCCCTGCCACGCGTTGCTGTGGCCCAGTCTGGTTATTTATTTATCGTGTCATCAGCAACCATACCATTGTGTTACAATTCTAACAGAACAAAACAAACACACAGATTAAAACCAAAAAACCCACAGATTTTGCAAACTTGGTAGTTGGTTAAATGTCCTTTGACCGGTATCTGGCCACTTGGAGTGCCTCTGGTGTTGCCGCAAGAAGGTCCTCCATTGTGCATGTGGCAGGGCTCAGGTTGCATTGCAGCAGGTGGTCAGTGGTTTGCTCTTCTCCACACTCGCATGTCGTGGATTCCACTTTGTGGCCCCATTTCTTAAGTTTGGCTCTGCATCTCGTGGTGCCAGAGCGCAGTCTGTTCAGCGCCTTCCAAGTTGCCCAGTCTTCTGTGTGCCCAGGAGGGAGTCTCTCATTTGGTATCAGCCATTGATTGAGGTTCTGGGTTTGAGCCTGCCACTTTTGGACTCTCGCTTGCTGAGGTGTTCCAGCGAGTGTCTCTGTAGATCTTAGAAAACTATTTCTTGATTTAAGTCATTGACGTGCTGGCTGATACCCAAACAAGGGATGAGCTGGAGATGTCTCTGCCTTGGTCCTTTCACTATTGGCTGCTACTTCCCGGCGGATGTCAGGTGGTGCAATACCGGCTAAGCAGTGTAATTTCTCCAGTGGTGTGGGGCGCAGACACCCTGTGATAATGCGGCATGTCTCATTAAGAGCCACATCCACTGTTTTAGCGTGGTGAGATGTGTTCCACACTGGGCATGCATACTCAGCAGCAGAGTAGCATAGCGCAAGGGCAGATGTCTTCACTGTGTCTGGTTGTGACCCCCAGGTTGTGCCAGTCAGCTTGGCAGAAAAAATGAAATGCAAAGATACAGAATGGGGGACGCCTGGCTCGAGAGCAGTACGTGTGAAAAAGATCTTGGAGTCCTCGTGGACAACAAGTTAAACATGAGCCAACAATGTGATGTGGCGGCAAAAAAAGCCAATGGTATTTTGGCCTGCATCAATAGGAGCATAGTGTCTAGATCTAGGAAGTAATGCTACCCCTCTATTCCGCTTTGGTTAGACCACACCTGGAATATTGTGTCCAATTCTGGGCACCACAATTCAAGAGAGATATTGACAAGCTGGAAGTGTCCAGAGGAGAGCGACTAAAATGATCAAGGGTCTGGAGAACAAGCCCTATGAGGAGCGGCTTAGGAGCTGGGCATGTTTAGCCTGAAGAAGAGAAGGCTGAGAGGAGATATGATAGCCATGTATAAATATGTGAGAGGAAGCCACAGGGAGGAGGGAGCAAGCTTGTTTTCTGCTTCCCTGGAGACTAGGACGCAATGGAACAATGGCTTCAAACTACAAGAGAGGAGATTCCATCTGAACATGAGGAAGAACTTCCTGACTGTGAGAGCCGTTCAGCAGTGGAACTCTCTGCCCCAGAGTGTGGTGGAGGCTCCTTCTTTGGAAGCTTTTAAACAGAGGCTGGATGGCCATCTGTCAGGGGTGATTTGAATGTAATATTCCTGCTTCTTGGCAGGGGGTTGGACTGGATGGCCCATGAGGTCTCTTCCAACTCTTTGATTCTATGATTCTATGATTCTATGATGTTGTTTCTAGCGCCCACTTTTTGCTTGATGTTCAGGCAGTGCTTCTTGCAGGTCAGAGCACGGTCCAAAGTGACTCCCAGGTATTTGGGTGTGTTGCAATGCTCCAGTGGGATCCCTTCCCAGGTAATCCTCAGAGCTCGGGATCAGAGCCCAGTCTGGTGATCTGGAAAGTAATGAGAAGGTGTTAATTTCTAATATATGTCATTTCTTTATGCTTGTGGGTAAACAGTATTTCTTGTTGTTTCTTTGTCAGTGTTGATGTGGAGAGTGTCTGGTTTGCCCAATCTGGAACATGCAACATATCATTGTCCTTCTTTAGGGCTTCCTTTCAAATCTGTGATACTATATCTCTCTGTTTGTGAATCATATATATCTATCTATATCTATGGCTGGATGGCTCTTTTCTTGCCCTGGTGAAGGGAGTTGGAGTATTTTCTATTGGTCATGGGAGTTCTATGTGGGAAGTTTGCCCCAATTCTGTCATTGGTGGGGTTTAGAATGCTCTTTGATTGTAGGTGAACTATAAATTCCAGTAACTACAACTCCCAAATGTCAAGGTCTATTTTCCCCAAACTCCACCTGTGTACATATTTGGGCATATGGAATATTTTTGCCAAGTTTGGTCCAGATCCATCATTGCTTGAGTCCACAGTGCTCTCTGGATGTAGGTGAACTACAACTCCCAAACTCAAAATCAATGCCCACCAAACCCTTCTAGTGTTTTCTGTTGGACATGGGAGTCCTGTATGTCACGTTTGTTTGAATGCCATATTTGGTGGAGTTCAGAATGCTCTTTGATTGTAGGTGAACTATAAATCCCAGCAACTTAAACTCCCAAGTGTCAAGGTCTATTCCCCCCAAAATCCACCTGTGTTCATATTTGGGCATATGGAATATTCATGCCAAGTTTGGTCCAGATCCATCATTGCTTGAGTCCACAGTGCTCTCTGGATGTAGGTGAACTACAACTCCCAAACTCAAAATCAATGCCCACCAAACCCTTCTAGTGTTTTCTGTTGGACATGGGAGTCTTGTATGTCACGTTTGGTTGAATGCCATATTTGGTGGAGTTCAGAATGCTCTTTGATTGTAGGTGAACTATAAATCCCAGCAACTACAACTCTCAAATGACAAAATCAAATTTTTTGAGTGAAAGACATACATTGGCTTGTTAGGTCTATGCTGTCCAAATTTGGTGTCAATTGGCCCACTGGTTTTTGAGTTCTGTAAATCCCAGAAACGAACATTACATTTTTATTTATATAGATTATGAAGCAGATGCTGGATGGCCATCTGTCAGGAAGGCTTTGGATATCTGGCCTATTGGATATCTGGACAATACTGAACTGGATGGACCAAGCGTTAAAAGGCAGCTTTCTCGTCTGCATTGTTAACAGATCTATAAATCAATTTTAGGCACTATATAAAATCAATATATTTTTTTTTCCAAGGGTCTTGTGCATTCTTCTGTTCATCATCCTATGTCCTGTAGATGAATTTCTCTACTTTTAGCATGTTTTTTTTCTGTATTTCTGGGATTAAAAGAAGGACCCTTCACTTTGCAGGATGCTTTGCCTTTGGTCACCCCTCCGCTCCCTGGCTGCACCTCTCGATTATGCCCGCTGTCCTTTGGAGAAGGAGTGGAATTCGACCCGTTGCCACCTAAAGATATAAGGTACCAAAAGTGGGATTTATCTTTCTGGTTCTTTCATGACTCTCTTCCTCGAGGTTGTTATGGGTTAGAAGTGAAAAAAACTCCAGTAGTATCATGTTGTGCACCTATGCACCAAAGGCGCAGCAGAAGAACAGGTTTTAAGGTTCTTTTTTAACGTTTCTAGTGAAGGGGCTTTCCTGATCTCTCCAGGTAATGAGTGCAAAGGACCAGTTGGATTTGTCAAGAGGGATAGTTAGATGGAGAATTCTCCTCTATTGGACATGTGTAGATGTCCCTTTGGAGCTGTTAGGATAATAATAATAATAATAATAATAATAATAATAATAATAATAATAATCTTTATTTATACCCCGCCACCATTTCCCCAATGGGGACTCGGAGCAGCTTACATGGGGCCAAGCCCTAATAACATATTAATAAACACAATCACGATAACAGTGGCCGGGCTGCATGTACAGGATAAAACAATTAAAAAGTTCTAATGAGCTAAAATAGGAGCAAGTTATTTGAAGGGAGCTCATAGAAACAAACAGAGTTATAGTAGGGCTGGGCGGTTTCGTTCGTTAATTTCGTAATTCGTTATTAATTCGTATTTAAATTAGCTTACGATCCGATATTGAGCCATGCAGGAATAGTATGAGGAGTAAATTAGATTCGAAACAAATTTTTCAATTTATTTCGTTATTGTTTCAAAATTATTTCGTAATTTTTTCGTAATTATTTTCGCATGCCTGGTGCAAGTTTTATAGTTGTTGTTTGTTTTATCACACCAAAAGTCAACAACAGAGGGAGAGGAAAACTTCAGAAGTTTCCCCTGTCCCATTTGGAGGGTTTTTTAGCATATTGCGCAATCGCGCCCGCCATTAACGAATCGATTCGAAATTAACGAAATTTCGTAAATAACGAAATTTTGAAATCTCAAAATTTCGGAAGTATTTAGAATTTGGAAACACTAGCGCCCCCTGGAAACGAATCGAGTTTAGAAACAAATTTTTCCATGGTTACCCAGCCCTAAGTTATAGAACTAAACTTCTCATGTGGAGGGCGTGTACTCCAGTGGCAGAAGCATTGAGGGGAGCAGTAGTATCATGTTGTGCACCTATGCACCAAAGGCGCAGCAGAAGAGCCAGGTTTTAAGGTTCTTTTTTAACGTTTCTAGTGAAGGGGCTTTCCTGATCTCTCCAAGTAATGAGTTCCAGAGTTGGGGAGCCACAGAGGAGAAGGCTCTCTCCCTTGTGCCCACAAGATGGGCTTGTGAGATTGGTAGGGGCGAAAGGAGGACCTCCCCTGAAGATCGAAGGGCCTGGGTTGGTACGTGGAGAGAGATACGGTCACAAAGATAGGCGGGTCCCAAACCGTTTAGGGCTTTGTAGGTGATAACCTATACCTTGAATTGGAACCGGAGGATAAACGGCAGCCAGTGGAGCTCCTTAAACATGGGAGTCGACCGTTCCCTATAACTAGCCCCAGTTATTAATCTGGCCACCGAACATTGGACAAGTTGTAGTTTCCGGACCGTCTTCAAGGATCCATGGAAAGACTACCAAAACATGGGATATAGGAGGATCCATTGCTGAATTTAAGACATAATGTGGTGGCTTGGAGAGTTACTTATTAGGACATCTGATTGTTAGATATTCTCTAGTCCAGTGGTTCCCAACCTTTTTTGGACCAGGGACCACTCTCCAACATTACCATTCAGTTTTTTGTCAACTTTAGATTCGGTTTGGTTATTTGGGGTGCTGATTCAGAAAATTGCATTGGATAGACCACATCAGCTCTAGTTTCTGATACAGAACATATGCTGTCCGGTAGTCGCCATCTGCTCACTCACATCTATCTATCTATGTATGTAATAAAAGTCAGTGTTTGTATGTGGAGGGAGGACAGTGTATGTGGCAGCTTTCTGATTGGCTGCCACTGTGGTACAATTTGCATATGGTCTCTGATTGGCCAGCCTCAACATTCCAATGGTTGGAGTTGAAGTCTAAAACACCTTGTGGCCCCCAACAATGACAGAACAAGACCAAACGTAGCAAACAGAGCCCCGATGACCCATTCTACATCCTGGTGCAGATTTGAGGATGGACCACAGATGATGGGACTTGAAGTACCTCCACTCACGTCTCGAGACTGCTGTGACCCTCATCCAATGACTGAACAAGACCAAACTTGGCACACAGAACCCTCATGACCCATTCTACATCCTGGTGCAGTTTGGAGGACAATGGATCATGGATGGGACTCGAAGTACCTTCGCTCACATCCCAGACCACTGCGACCCTCATCCAGTGACTGATGAAGACCAAACTTGGCACCCAAAGCCCCCATGACCCACTCTACATCCAGGTGCTGTTTGGAGGGGGATGGACCATGCACGATGGGATTTGCAGTACCTTCACTAACTGATAACTGATAAAGAACACCTTTGCCACACAATGCCTTTCTTAAAAAACCTGGGCACCGCCAGGTACGCAAGCTAGTATTTAATTATTTAGAGCTGCGGACCTTATTTTAGTTCTTGCGGCCCACCAGTGGACCAGTGGAAAAGGAAAGTGGATGGTACCAAACACTTCTGTTATAAGAAGGGTGGACTAAAACTCTTTTCCGCGGCAGGATGAAGAGGAAGTGGGTTTTTAGTTACTGATTTCCAGAGCAGACTGAGTCAGGCTTCGTTGCTATAAGGAGAGGCAGTAGAGCGATTTACGAGGGAAAGGAATTCACTTTTCCCACAATGGAAGATTTAAATTGCAGACTGAGTAAGCATTGCAGAGTTGCAGACGAGGGGGAGATCCTTTGGTAAAATGTATTGAACTCTGCCTGCTTTGGGGTGGGCTTTAGGGATGGGATTGATGTGATAATAGTAATAATAATAATAATAATAATAATAATAATAATAATAATAATAAGGTGGTCCCAGTGGTGATCAGCACACCTTGGCTGATCACCACTGGGACCACCAGTGCAGACACAATCGGCGCTGACAAAATTACCATCTGCCAGCTGCAGAAGGCCACCTTACTGGGATCTACACACATTGTTCTGTGGGTGAGCAGATGGCGACTACTGGATGGCATATGTTCTGTATCAGAAACTAGAGCTGATGTGGTCTATCCAATGCAATTTTCTGAATCGGCACCCCAAATAACCAAACTGAATCTAAAGTTGATGAAAAACTGATTGGTAACCCTTTTGGTACTTATGTTGGAGAGTGGTCCCTGGTCAAAAAAAGGTTGGAGTAATGAAATAAGTAATGAGTTGTAGGCCAAAAACATCTGGGGACCCCAGGTTGAGAACCACTAGAGGGACAGTCATTTCTCCTTGTCCTCAATTTACACAGTCCATTGGAAAAGGAGATGATGGCCAGGATCCCTCCAGCTATTTCCCAAGCCAGGTAGCCCCATGAAAATGTATGTATTAGGCCTGGGTAACAACGGAAAAATTTGTTTCTAAAATCGATTTGTATTTGGGGGTTTTTTTTGTTTCGATATTTAAAATAATTACAAAATTTTCCTTTTAAAAAGTTCGATATTTACGAAATTTCGTAAATGGTAAAAAATTAACGAATCGATTTCCGAAACAATAACGAATCGATTCGTTAATGGCGGACGCGACCGCGAAATACGCTAAAAAATCTCCAAAACCTTCTGAAGCTTCCCTCTCCCTCTGTTGTTGACTGTTGGTGTGATATTATAATTTTTTTTCACTAATTAAACCATAAAACTGGCCCAGACATGCGGAAATAATAACGAAACGACCTCAAAACAATAACGAAATGAATACAATATTGAAATACGAAGCATTTACAAAACGTTTTTGAAAATTCGTTTTTTTTAATAATTGCTCCAGAATGGTTCGTTATCGTTTTGTAATTGAAAAAATTAACGAATTATTAACGAATTACGAATTAACGAAACGAAACCGCCCAGCCCTAGTATGTATGTATGTATGTATGTATGTATGTATGTATGTATTTATTTACAGCTTTTATATTCCGCCCTTCTCACCCCGCAGGGTTCTCAGGGCGGATTACAGTGTACACATATATGGCAAACATTCAATGCCAATTTTGACGTACAACATATACAGACATACACAGAAGCTATTTAACTTTTTCTGGCCGCCAGGGGAGCTGTCGCTTTCATCGTCCAGCTGCGACGCTGATGAAGCACTTCCGCATTCCCCACATGCTTCCCCGCTGGAATGTAAACCCCAAATGTTAACTTAAACAGACCTGGAAGGGAAATCTATGCTCTCTAATTGGATTGGGAGGAGAATTGTCCTTGAGTTTCCTACTACCATCTCTGGTTAGTTTTTTTCTGAGTAGTGATGTCAACCATTTGAGTTTCACCCCTGTTTCTGTCCCTCTGCCCCAGGTACACCTCTTCGGTGAAATACGACTCGGAGAAGCACTTCATTAATAATATTTATATGCCCATGGGGCTTGGGGTTTCCGCTTGTAGCCAGACGGTCTTCTGCGTCCCTCAAAGCACATGGCGCAACTACAAAGCCGAGGTCCACTTCCAGCCACGCAACAAAGCCACGAGTTTCACCAGCACCACCATCATCTACCCCAAGCACACCACAACCATCTACACCACCACACTGGATTACAATTGCAGGAAGCACATGCGGAAGTTCTTGTCCAGCGTGGAGTTGGAGTCTTCTGGGAACGAGGACAGTCCCGAGAGTTGCTGAGGCCTGCTCTTTCGGCCATGGTGTTTCTTCGAAGTTTTCCGCCGGATGAAAATGGATGAAACTTCCTTTGATCGTCGTCCGTAGCTACCTCTCCCTTAGCCTTAAGGATCCCACAGGCCTGCACTTAATTTTTGTGGATTGGAAAGTAAACCTTTACTCAAGGAAAATGTTCCTTCCATCATTAAAAAAATGGAGCACGCTGTAACTTTTTTTTTTGTCCTGGTTTTTCCTTTTACAACAACAAGGGAATTTTTCTTTCCAAAGACAAACGTGGGTTGCTTTCCTAGAAGAAAAGGAACCTGGGCACACTGCCTCTGAATGAAAATAATGCCTCAATTGACTCTTTGTGCTGCGGAAAGCATGTCTTTGAGGAGCCTAACCCAGTTGCACTTCAAACCCCAAAGCCATAATTTATTTTCACTCATCACAGAAAGCTCACTTATTATTCCAAAGCCTGTGGCCGGCCACTTGGGGCCGATCTTTTTCGCTTGATCAAAAGTCGCTTTGATGCCAGCTTTGTCCTTTTATAGAAACCTTTGAAGAAATCAGTCTTGATCTGAAGTGTCATTGAAAGGAATTTTACAATAAACCACAAAGAATACTTAGGTTACTGGTCTCACCAAGATAGTTAATTACAAATGGGTTTTATTTGTATTTAATTCACAATTGACTTGCCTAATCATTTACTTTAGTTTAGTCGCTAGGCATTGCTAGAGCTAGCCTGTAACTTGTAGTAAATATACAGCTAAAGATTATCCTTGAATCATCAGGATTTTTTTTTATGAACATAGCGAGTAAGAACCGTGCATGACTTTCTTTTTGTTGCTATAAGCACCCTCGAGCAATGAGCCTGAAGATGGAAAAAATGTGGGATTCTGGGAGAGTGTCTTCAGAGACAGGTAGAAAGTGGTTTGTAAGGATTCTTACGAGGATTTTCCCAAAGGAGGTTAGAAGAGAGATACCTCGATAGTTTCCGCAGTCTGTTCTTTCCCCCCTTTTTTGTTATTTTTTTGTTGGGTGATTTTCTCAATCCACACTTTTTCAATGAGCTGGTGGAGTTGTTGTATCATCTCAGGTCCACCCTCTTTACAGATTTCAGCAGGGATCCCGTCAGGTCTGCTGGCTTCGTTATTTTTTTGTTGGGTGATTTTCTCAGTCCACACTTTTTCAAAGAGCTGGTGGAGTTGTTGTATCAGCACAGGTCCACCCTCTTTACAGATTTCTGCAGGGATTCCATCAGGTCTGCTGGCTTTATTATTTTTTTGTTGGGTGATTTTCTCAGTCCACACTTTTTCAATGAGCTGGTGGAGTTGTTGTATCAGCTCAGGTCCACCCTCTTTACAGATTTCAGCAGGGATCCCGTCAGGTCTGCTGGCTTTGTTATTTTTTTGTTGGGTGATTTTCTCAGTACACACTTTTTCAATGAGCTGGTGGAGTTGTTGTATCAGCACAGGTCCACCCTCTTTACAGATTTCAGCAGGGATCCCGTCAGGTCCGCTGGCTTTGTTACTTTTTGTTGGGTGATTTTCTCAGTCCACACTTTTTCAATGAGTTGGTGGAGTTGTATCAGCTCAGGTCCACCCTCTTTACAGATTTCAGCAGGGATCCCGTCAGGTCTGCTGGCTTTGTTATTTATTTGGATCAATAGTCCTTTTGCTCTTAAGAACTTAGGCTTTGGAGAGGTACCAGGTACAGGATGGCTACTGCCTTCAGCTGAAACTAATCTAGTTTCTGATATATACTATGCAAACACAGCATTTTCACCCTCAGCACCAGGGTGCAACTGAATTACTCCAAGACTCAAGTGGTTGGATGTGTTACGTGCTGTTTTCTCAGTCCACACTTTTTCAATGAGCTGGTGGAGTTTTTGTATCAGCTCAGGTCCACACTCTTTACAGATTTTAGCAGGGATCCCGTCAGGTCCGCTGGATTTTTAGTTTTTTTTGTTGGCTGATGGTGTTGCTGACATCCTCCAAACTAGGCAGTGCTGCAAGCTCATCCCTGCTTTGTTGTTGTCGGATTTGTGAGAGAACTTTGGCCATGTTGGAGCTGTGATTCGTGAGGTTGTGGTAGCGCTCTTTCCAACTTGGTGTAATTGTTGGGGTTTTTTTGGTCTTTCAGAAGTTTGGTTCCATCTGATGAATGTAGAGGGTGTATACCATGGTTTCTCGGTCCATAGACGGCCTTTGTGGCTTTAAAATATCCTGGAGCATCATGGATATCTGCAAAGTGTTGGATTTCTTCAGCCTTTTTTGTCCACCTATGTGTCCACCACCAAGACACTTCATTTGGAAGGCCATCATACTCGGACAATGAGGGATCGCCTAATGAATGGTGGATAAAGTGTAAATGTGACTGTCTACTGGAAATTTGAGAAAATTAGTTAAGTCTTGAGTTATTAATTTAATATTTAGCAGCAGTTTCAACTCTGGTGAAGGCATCTGTCCAGTTGTCCAGACTACAAATCTGTATCTTGCAAACTGGCCAGCTGAATTACAATTACAAAATGAGGATCCAAGTTTCAGAAGGAATGTTTGTAGTAGTGTGCAGTCCATTTGTCTTTGTGATAGTCATATAAACTTCTGACTGCAGAATCTGGTGGAATTGCTCTTCTTTAGTCTTTTCATATTCAGTTCATTGTATGTTGTCCATTGTGGCAGCTGGTCCATCATGGCAAATTAAGAGGTTGACAGCAAGGTTCTTTATTTATTTATTTGTATGGATTTATGCCATCAGCCCACAGAAATGGAGCCCTGAGAATATCCTAAATTGGCTAAAGTCTTACGGTGATATTAGTATGAATGAGTTATTGTCGAAGGCTTTCATGGCCGGAATTGCTGGGTTGTTGTGAGAGACCTCACAACCTCTGAGGATGCCTGCCATAGATGTGTGCCTGTAGTTTAGGAGTTTTCAGTCTGAGAGACCCCTCAATGTTAACAGACCTCAGTGAGAGAGGCCTCAGTGTGAGAGAAGCCTCTGTGGGAGAAAGGCCTTAGTGTGGGAGAGGCCTCAGTCTGAGAGAACCCTCAGATGTGTGCCTGTAGTTTAGGAGCTTTCAGTCTGAGAGAGCCCTCAATGTTAACAGACCTCAGTGAGAGAGGCCTCAGTGTGAGAGAAGCCTCAGCGGGAGAAAGGCCTTAGTGTGGGAGAGGCCTCAGTCTGAGAGAACCCTCAGATGTGTGCCTGTAGTTTAGGAGCTTTCAGTCTGAGAGAGCCCTCAATGTTAACAGACCTCGGTGAGAGAGGCCTCAGTGTGAGAGAAGCCTCAGCGGGAGAAAGGCCTTAGTGTGGGAGAGGCCTCAGTCTGAGAGAACCCTCAGATGTGTGCCTGTAGTTTAGGAGCTTTCAGTCTGAGAGAGCCCTCAATGTTAACAGACCTCAGTGAGAGAGGCCTCAGTGTGAGAGAAGCCTCTGTGGGAGAAAGGCCTTAGTGTGGGAGAGGCCTCAGTCTGAGAGCACCCTCAGAGTGAGAGAGGCCATAGATGTGGGCGAAACGTCAAGAGAGAATGCTTCTGGAACATGGTCAGACAGCCCAGAAAACTCACTGCAACCCAGTATGAATGAGGGGTTTTGTTGTTTTTTAAAAAAAAGACACATCTGTTTTCTAAAAAAAATCCTGGATAGGATCATTTGCTAACAATTATGCTTTTCCAAGCACTTTGACCAAAGAAAAGGCTGCTTTTAAATAGTTACGATTTCTAAATGGTTTGCATGTCATGTGGGAGAAGTGGCTCTAGAGTCTTTGTGGTGTGCATTCTGGAGTATGTGACCAGTGTGAAACCAAAAAGGAGATTCACAAGGAGAGAGGATTCATTTTGTGCCCAAGCTTCCATCTGTGACAAGGAAGGAATCCAGAATGGTTGTTCAGAATGAAAACCCCAGTGTGTGACTTTAGTTGTGATAGCTCTTGCAAATGTGATTAATGGTAAGCGTTGAGAGGAATTGTGCCATGGTCTGTGTGTGAGAATCAAGTTGGTTTAATGGTTACGCGTTGTTTATTTATTTGGATCAATAGTCCTTTTGCTCTTAAGAACTTAGGCTTTGGAGAGGTACCAGGTACAGGATGGCTACTGCCTTCAGCTGAAACTAATCTAGTTTCTGATATATACTATGCAAACACAGCATTTTCACCCTCAGCACCAGGGTGCAACTGAATTACTCCCAAGACTCGAGTGGTTGGATGTGTTACGTGCTGTTTTGTCCCTGGAGAAATGAGCAGAAACATTCTTTGAACTGAAAAGGCATCTGTACAAAGAAGAAAGGGTTTGGGATCCCATTCCTCACCGCAAGTGATCCCTTTTGGCGGTTGTATCCAAGCCAGAACGGAAAGTGCTTCGGGATTGTCTGATGTAAGCAGCATTTAGGGCCAACCCCCATGCTTTTCACTTTGCAGTTAAAAAGGAGTTATTTCGATGTATATGAAAGGACATGTTTTAAAAGTGTCTGCTGCTGTCTGATTGAGGAAGGTTTACAGGGGGGAAATTCTTTGCCAGTGGGTAAAACATTCCTTCTGAAGGAGTGAACGTTCGGTTAGAAAATACAGTAGAATTGTGATTATCTGACATAAACGGGCCGGCAGAACGTTGGATAAATGAAAATGTCACATAATATGGAGTCTCCTACTGTTACCCATCCAACGTTGTGCTAGATACCTAGAATACTATGAGGTTTGAATGAAAAGTAATGCCTCCACCTTCATAACTCCTCAACAGATGACAGTACTGGTATGCAGTAGGTACTGGCTTGTTCAGTAGACTCTCCTCTACAGTTCCAGTTTGGAGGGAAGCATTATCACTGAACAGTTGTGTTGTTAAAGTGCAAAGTATGGAACCCTGAGGAGACCATCGGTCAATACGACTTAAGCAACGTGCAGTCATTGAATTCTTGAGAGCAGAAGGTGTCCCTCAAAGGAGATTCATCCGTCCTGGGCCCGGTCCTGTTCAACATCTTTATTAATGACTTAGATGAAGGGCTAGAAGGCATGATCATCAAGTTTGCAGACAACACCAAACTGGGAGGGAGAGCCAATACTCCAGAGGACAGGAGCAGGATTCAAAACGATCTTGACAGATTAGAGAGATGGGCAAAACTAACAAAATGAAGTTCAACAGTGACAAATGCAAGATACTCCACTTAGGCAGAAAAAACGAAATGCAAAGATACAGAATGGGGGATGCCTGGCTCAAGAGCAGTATGTGTGAAAAAGATCTTGGAGTCCTCGTGGACAACAAGTTAAACATGAGCCAACAATGTGATGTGGCGGCAAAAAAAGCCAATGGGATTTTGGCCTGCATCAATAGGAGCATAGTGTCCAGATCTAGGGAAGTCATGCTACCCCTCTATTCTGCTTTGGTTAGACCACACCTGGAATATTGTGTCCAATTCTGGGCACCACAATTCAAGAGAGATATTGACAAGCTGGAATGTGTCCAGAGGAGGGCGACTAAAATGATCAAAGGTCTGGAGGACAAGCCCTATGAGGAGCGGCTTAAGGACCTGGGCATGTTTAGCCTGAAGAAGAGAAGGCTGAGAGGAGGATATGATAGCCATGTATAAATATGTGAGAGGAAGCCACAGGGAGGAGGGAGCAAGCTTGTTTTCTGCTTCCTT